ATTGAAAATTTGAAACGCTAGAAATCGATTACAAGAAAGGAGTTTTTCCTTAGGAATTGGTGCTTCGCGTAGGTGATCAAGGGAGGGAGCCATTCTCACTCGTAAGGAGTTTTTACTTTTAAAAATTGAAGATTAGTTAATAATAATAAAAAAAGGGTTAAGATCCACCTTTGTGGAAGAAATTTCATTGAAATGCTCAAAATTTATTACCAAAAATCATTTTTTTCCTCTTAAAAATTAGGATAAATTTGTAAAAACATTATGTAAGAACGCCTCTATAGCTTTCCTTAAAAAAAAAGTAAGACTAAATTGATTACAAAAAAAAAATTTCGCCTTTAAAAAGTCAAGACCAATTTATAAAAAACATTGTGTAAGACCAAGCTCTACAAAAAATAAAAAATAAAAAAAAAGTGTAAGACCCACCTCTACTGGAAAAAATAAAAATAAAAAAAATCTAGATCGATTTATAAAGAACTTATGTAAGACCTACCTCGATATTTTTAAATTTAATACTAATTTCAAAAAATACTAAGACTGATTTTTCAAAAGATTGGGTAAGATTAGTTCATAAAGAAAATTTGGTTAAGATCCACCTATGTGGAAGATCTAATGGGTAATAATTTATGCAAAAAAGGAACATTAATACTCTATTAAATTGATCAGAAAAATATTTTTTTATCTATGAAACATTGACGGACTAATTTATGAAAGTAAATGGGATTAAAAAAACAAACGTTTAGACCAAATTGATCACTAAAAAAAAAAAATTGGGTAAGATCCACCTCAAACGAGGTGGGTAGCCTTAACCGGATGTATTCGGTAACAAGAAAGCCCGAAGGCTTGTTCCCGTCCCTATCAGGGGAGATGCCAACCGTCTCTCCTTTCAACGAACACGACGTTAGACGTGGTTGAGTTGTTTATATAGAGACGAATTAGGGCTAATATCTTCGATATGGGATATTTCATTCTCTCTATTTGTCCTCACTCTCTCTCTCCACCCTCATTTTATCTCTCTCTCTCCTCGCATTGTTTTTTAGAAAATGTCTCCTCTCTATTTGTCCTCACTCTCTCTCTCCACCCTCATTTTATCTCTCTCTCCTCGCATTGTTTTTTAGAAAATGTCTCCTAGCGCCATCTTTTTCTCTTAGGATAAGGAATCCAGCCTTCCATGCCCTCCCTCTCTCTCTCTCTCTCTCTCATATTTCTTGGTCTATTTAGGATCCTCTTTGAAATTACCAAATAAGTATTCTAAAAAATGTATATAATGGCTTTGAGTTTTCTAAGTATTAATTGGTTAGGTGTGGTCAGGTCCAGGTCAATCCTGACTGGGACCCGCTTGACTGGATCTGTGCATACACACACATGCACGTGCGCAAACTCACACCCACACATATATTGGGTTGGGTCAACCTTGACTCTAACCCAACCTGATAAAGTCCAGGGCCTAGACCCAACTCAGCTCAGGTCCAACTTATTTGGACCGAACCACGACCTTGGTCCGATATTTGGATCCAAACTCGGGCTTAAGTCAACCCTACTCAATTGCCACCCGTATTTCCATATTGATTGCCCAACATATAAAATGGTCTTTGTTCAATGTTAAGACATTAATCTTTGAAGGAAATCTAGAATGTATATACATTTTCATTTTAATCTTTGGAGCAAATCTTAAGACACTCTAGGTCAAGGACAGTATCCCCAAATTAGGGTCCAAAGTATGTTCTTAGGAGGGGTTTAACTTGATGGAGTGAGCTGACAATACGCTCCGGAAGGAGCACATATTCTTTTGGCGTAATTTTTTGTCCATAAAAATGAGATTTGAAGATTGCCGTGGGTTTCTCATATGGTTGGGTAAAAAGTTTGCGTTTTATTTCCATATCATCTATTTAATTCATATAATAAGTTGATTTCAATTTTAATAGAATTGTACTTTCTTTATAACAAATAAAATGTCATGAAATCCCTGATATTTTTATTACAATTCAAGTGTTAAGGGATGGTGCAAAATTTATTTATCAAATTAAAAAATGGGCTAAATTAGAATTATTCTGATAATTTTCATTATTAATTTTTTTTATTAGCAACTTCAATTTTCATGAAAGTGCCGTCGTTGCTAGAGCATCAGCCTCATCATTAACCTTACTTGGGTGAATTTTCGCTTCTAGCATGCTCATTGATAGCTTTATTTTGTCGAATGCATTTTTTTTTGGTGCCATTGGAACTTCTTGCTTAGTTTACCTGTTTGGGTACATGGATTTTAAGGCATGTATTCCTTATATTGTCAAAATTTGTCGTTTGGATTGTTTAATGACTAGGATACTTAAAATCAAGAAAATTAAAATCATGGAAATAAGATATACTTTTCCATGATTTCATTTCCATATCAAAACCTGTTTTTTTACATTTCCAAGGCCAATAGATTTCACTCATTGGCTCCCTCGATCCGAAACACAAGGAGCGATTTCACTTATTGGCTCCCTCGACCCAAACACAAGGAGCATTTGGTAAGTATGAAAATTTTAGAGAGAGAAAGTACCTAAAGTTTTTAAAGAGAGAAACTATCTCAAAATTTTTACAGAAAAAAACCATCTTCAATTTCAACTTTTAGAGAGAGAAAGTACGTTAAAATTTTAAAGAGAGAAAGTATCATATTTTTTAGAGAGATGAACTATCTCAAAATTTAGAGAGAGAAACTATCTCAAATTTTAATTTTTAGAGAGAGAAAGTATGTAAAAATTTTAAAGATAAAGTCTATTAAAATTTTAGAGAGAGAAAGTGTTAAATTTTTTTGAGAGATAAACTATCTCAAAAATTTAGAGAGAGAAACTATCTCAAATTTTAAGTTTTAGAAAGAAACTATCATATTTTAGAGAGAGAAAGTACATGCAAATTTTTAGAGAAAAAAACTATCTCAATTTTTTAGAGAGAGAAACTATTTCAAAATTTTAGAGAGAGAAATAATCTCATATTTTAATTTTTAGATAGAGAAACTATATCAAATTTTAGAGAGAGTACCTAAAAATATTTTGAATAGAAACTATCTCAAAAAAATTTAGAGAGAAACTATCTAAAATTTTTTGGAGAGAGAAACTATCGCAAAATTTATGTTTTAGAGAGAACAAGTATATTAAAAATTTTGATAGATAAACTATATCAAATTTTAAATAGAGAAAGTACATGAAATTTTTAGAGAGGGAAACTATCTCAAAAAAATTTAGAGAGAGAAACTATCTCAAAATTTAAGTTTTAGAGAGAGAAAGTTTCTCAAATTTTAAACTTTAGAGAGAGAAAGTATATCAAAGTTTTGAGAGGCAGTATATCAAATTTTAAAGAGAAAAACTATTTCAAAATTTTAGATAGTGAAACTATCTAAAACTTGAAGTTTTAGAGAGAAAACATCTTAAAATTTAAGAGAGTAACTATATCAAATTTTAGAGTGAGAAAGCACATAAAATTTTTCAGAAAAATAAACTGTCACAAAATTTTTAGAGAGAAATTATCTCAAATTTTAGCTTTTAGAAAGAAAAAGTACCGTAAAATTTGAGAGAAAAAACTGTATCATATTTTAGAGAGAGAAAATACTTAAAAATGTTTAGAGAGAAGCTATCTCAAAATTATTGAAGAGGGGAACACTCTCAAGTTTTAAGTTTTAGAGAGTGTGTCTTAAAATTTTAGAAAAAAAAACTATATTAAATTTTTGTGAGAGTAAAGCACTTAAAAATTTTAGAGAAAGAAATTACCTCAAAAATTTTAGATACACAATTTCAAATTTTAAATTTTGGATAGAAAGGATATTAAATTTTAGAGAGACAAACCATGTCGAATTTTAGAGAGAGAAACTATCTCAAAATTTTCGTAGATACACTATCCCAAATTTGAGTTTTAGAGAGAGAAAATACATACAAATTTTAGAGAGATAAATTGTATCAAGTTTGTTACCAAACAATGGACATAGGAGTGATTGCAAGGAATCGATGAAGTTTGTATAGTTTATCCAAACAAGAGATTCGAGGAATCCATGACAAAAATCCTTGATATTGAAAATCCATAAATTTCTTGGGATTTCAAATATCTAAGATTCTTAATTTCCTTTTATCCAAATGGGCTTTTAGAACTTCCATCAAAATTAAGTTTTGTCCTGCCTTCTAAGGTAGAATCACATGTTAGACTTGCTTTTTCCTAGCCGGTTAATACACTTAATTTTTTTATCGAAGTGCTAGAAAAATCTGAGGCATTGCAGCTCCAACTTTGCTTGATTTAGCTCAAGAAATTTATCTTTTTTAGACGAATTTATCAAAGTTCGTATTAGGGATCAGCTATTTAACCTTTTACCTATATCTTTTGCTATAATTTTGAAATACCCATCAAAATACACATGACCATGAGTTGGAATAGTTGAAAAATGACAAGTTGTCGAATTGTTGAAAAGTTTCGGTGTATTTTAATAGACTTCTCTTCTTTTATATAAGGGTGAGGTTTGTATAAGGCACCAGCACCTCAAAATATAATTAAAAGATGTATTTTCATCTAAACGTCTATTTTTCACCCCTATAATGCAATTGAAAGCTCCAAAAATAGTACAAATCTAATGGATCTATGAGCAATTGGAAATGGACGGTCTAGATAATGTGTTACAAAGTACACTATTTTTGGAACTTGAAATTTATTTTTTCTTTCATATCCATATATATCCATGTCTAGATAATCAATTGGAAAACTTTCTAATAACGAAACAACCTTTTTCAATAGGTTTTTGGGGTGTACCTTACTTCTATATTGTTGACACCTTATGTAATCTTTTTCCTTTATATAAATGGTAGTTCGAAATGTTTGTCCCCGAACCTCTCCAACCATCATGTAATTGCTTGGACCAGTAGCAATCCTAAGTTGAGGAGCAGGAGAGATTAAGAGCGTTTGAGGATTAGCACTCGAAAATGAAAATGCACGTCTTGCAAAATGTAGAGAGAGAGAATCCTTTAATACGGATTAGCACTCGAAAATGAAAAATGCATGTCTTGCTAAATATAGAGAGAGAATCCTTTAATACAAGAAAGTCACAATTACTTCCAACCATCCCACGGATAAATGGCCAATAGATGTGTCCGTACGAAATGGAAATAAATGTCACAATACACATTCGTTTCAGAATCCAATGGAATAGATTCTCTTAAAACAAACACGCCTCCTCAATCTTTACCATCCAATGGATACCACCTTATTTTTCATTTCATTTTTTGGAAAAATAATACTTCAGTGAAGTCCAAAAATTGAAAGTAAACACACCTCCTCAATCTTAACCATCCAATGGATACCACCTTATTTTTCCCTTCATTTTTTGGGAAAATTATACCTCAGTGAAGTCCAAAAATTGAAAACCAAAGCAATAACCAAATCGCCACTGTATGCCCCTAAAATTTTAACCAAAAGAATGGAATTGCAAAATCACATTATATTTTTTATGTTTTCTTGTTGTTTCAAAGAATAACCTCGAATTTTGAGTGTATTTCTCTTCTTTTTTTTGCCCTGTTTATCTATCTAGCTATGGATTCCCCCTTTAAAGGCACCACCAAATGTCCTCCCAAATCTATTTGGTCCCTCAAATTGGATATGGCGAGCAAGAAATTTAGGACATCTTTGCTTTTGCAAAGAGGACACCAGCAAAAAGACCTGATCAAAAGCATAAAAACAATAATTTCATCATCGTAAGAACATTTTCCCATCTAATTGGGATTGGCTAAAAATTAATAATCTATTAGAGAGAGAGTGAGAACTAAAAATTTGAAGCCTTGGGTTGTAGATTATTACCAAATAGTATGCTGAAGAGGTTTGGCGTGCTCAGTGGGACTTTAAACAGAAGTATACCGGCAATCGATATAGGAATTTTGTTTAAGGATCCCACCAAACTGCAGAGAGAGAGAGAGAGAAAGAGAAAGAGAGAGA